GCGTGTGTGTCCCCCCCGGGTGGCTGCCCCTTCGGCTGTGTGCCTGGGGGGCTGTCGCGCGCCCATCGGAGGGGCTGTGTGCAGGTGTGTGTGCGTGGGTTGTGTGCCCAGGTGTGGGTTCTCCCCCCCCCCCCACCCCGCGTGAGTGTATTCGCGCGGTTAGCTGCGTTGGGTGTTTGTGTCCGGATTGGATGTCCATCCCAGGGTCTGTGTAGCCGGGTGTGCCCGCTCGGGTGTCCATTTGTGTGTGTGTGTGTGTGTGTGTGTGTGTCTGCGGGTTGTATGTCTCCAAGGGTGTGTGTCTGTGCGTCCATGGCAGGTTCTCCGCGGGGGTGGGGGGGCTGGGGCTCAGCGCCTTGTGGGGCCTCTGTGTGGGTTTGGGGGAGGGGAGTTTGCCGCTCCCTCGGTCCATGTCAACTGTCGGGGGGGAGTCCTCGGCGGTCCTTGGGGGAGACGGCCATGTCTTCCCCTTCCTGGTGGCTGGGTGGGGGGGGGGATGGGCAGCCGGTAGGTGGACAGATGGAGGGATGAGAGGCCGAGGGGTGGACAGATGGGCCCGAGGGAGGGACGCAGACCCGGCCCTCTCCCACCCATCCCACCCCAGTCCCCTCCCGGCCAGATCTCTGCAGATGGGGCTGGAGGTGCCCACATCCAGATGGCCGGCCTGGGGACCTTTGGGCTGCTGGTGGGAGGATTGCCTCTGACCAGGTGCTCTTCAGCTCAGGCCCCCAGCCCTCTGAACTCTGACCTGGCTGGGGAAGGGGGTGTGCTGGGAGGGACAGGTGTTAGGGTTTCCTTGGCCTAGGAAGTAGGTGGGTCGGGGGTGCCTCAGGGCTGGGAGGGATGTGTGTCCATGACTGTGTGTGAGTGTGGTTCTCTGCCTATCTGTTGACTCTGCCAGTGGGGCTCAATATTTTGTGTGTATTTGTAAGTGTGTAAATCCCTCACAGGGCAGTTATGTGAGCATGTGCCTGTTATGAGTGAACATCTCCGAGTGTCTGTGCAAAGGTGGGTCTTTTTGTACCTATGTGCTTTTTGGAGTGTGTTATCAGCCTTGTCAGTGTCTGTTCCTATTGTGGTTCTGTGCATGTGTGTGAGGTGTGTATAGGCTAGTGTGTGCATTTCTGCATCTGTTGGTGTGGGAATGTACCAGCTTTGGGACCGTGCATACTAGGGGTACATGAAGTTGTATGAGTGTGTTGGGTATTTAAGAGCATGCACCTGTGTATCTTTGTGTGAGTGAGCATCTGTTACATGTGTGTTGGTGAGTGTGCAAGGGTAGCTTTGTTATAGATGCATGCACCAGGGGACACATGGGTTTCACAGTTGTGTGTGTGCCTCTGTGTGTGAGTGTGCAAGGGAAAAGGCAATGTTGTATGTGTGGTTGTGTGCAGGTGTGTCAACCTCGAGGGTCTGTATCTGTACTCTGAGTCCATTTGCGCATTTGTGTTGGTATCTGAAGAGTGGGGTTGTGTATGTTCACATACAGACATGCAGGATGATATGTGCACATGTGCCTGTGTCCTTGACATAGGCTGACCCCACTTATGGGCCCAGTGAGATGGGGGCCCATGTGGCATGACCTGTGGTATGCTGGGATCCATGGACACAAGTGTGTCCACATCCTGGACCAAGAGCCTTCAGGGGGCAGGGGCACACATATGCTGCTGTGTCCATGGGAATTCAGATACAGAGTCATGAGTTGTGGGCCCATGTGGGTTTTGGCATGTCCACATGTGTTGGGGTGACCATGGTCTGATGGCGAAGATGGGAACTTCTGATCCTCCCCCAGCTCCTGCTACTGTTCAGGTCTTTGAAGTTGGGGACTGGGATGTGAATTCTGGAAGGAGGAGGCTGGGAGCCTAGCATCCTGGGTTTGAAGGAGATAGAGAGCTGAGGGACCAGATTCCTGGATCTTGAGGAAGGAGGGAACTGAGACCTGGACTGTTGGGTCCAAGGGAGGGGGAGGATGGGGATCTTGGCCTCTTGAGCCCCCAGAGGACAAAGGACTAAAGTCCTAGACTCTGGGGATTTGGAAGGTGAACAGCCTGGGGCTTAGACTCCTTGATTTCCAGAGGTGACTTCCAGGGTCCACCTGAGACCCTGCAGAACCTACAGCAGGAGGGCTGAGAGAGTGATCACGGCAGGGGCTTCCTGGGCTGAGATGGTCTCTGAAGAGGGTCTTGGGAGAGGAGCCAGAAGGATGCTAACAGTGTGCTTTTATTCCTTTGCAGGTACTGGCCCAGGCCCTGACTGCCTGAAGAGAGGTGAGTGGGGTCCCTCAGGCTGGGGAGAGAGATGTGAAGTGATTGGGTTTACTCTGAGAGAGTCAGAGGCCTGGAGTGCTGCCTTGTATGAATTTTAGTGGCAAGTATAGCAGTGTCCTGAGGGGCCAGGTGCCCCCCAGGCTGGGGGTTGGTGACAAGGTCAAGAATGTCTTGTTTGGGTAAGAGCTTCGTAGAACGATGGTGTGGATGGTAGGTGGGGTCTCAGGCCTGGAGGTATCCCCTTTTAGACTGAGTAAAGTGGTCAGAAAAGGGAAGTTTCTTCATGTTAGTAAAGGAGGCAAGAGTTTCCTGACATGAAATGACCCTGCATTTGGATGGTGGTGTGGATATGGTTTACCATTTTGTGTGTGTATGTGCATGTATGTGGGGACATCTCCTGATAATCAGACCTCCTGGTGGCTGAGAGAGAGCCAGAGCAAATGATCATTTAACAGCAGCTGTTAACATTTATATAGTGTTTACTCCATCAGCAACTACTCTAAGTATGTTACAGCGGATTATCTTATTTAATCCTCACAATAATCCTATGAGGTAGGTGCTATCATCCCCATTTGACAGATGGACACACTGAGGCCCAAAGAGGGGAAGTCACATGGCAGGGAATTGGGGTGTGAACCTGGGCAGTTGGGGGCCAGATTCTGTCCGCAATGCCATACTGCCTCTCAATAAATGTTAGCTATTTTCATTGTTAGTATTACACTGTTTCAACTTGAGTCCCACCCTGGCTGTGGGCCTTCTGGTTTCATAGATAGTGGTTCTGAGTCCCAGAGAGCTTACAGCCACGCCGGTGCAGAGCTGCGCCTCCTACTTCTGGCCACCTCCCAGGCCAGGATTTTCTATTGGATGTAGAGCAGTGTCCCAGAGGGAGTGCATGACAGTTAGTGGTGGTGGTGGGGGGGTCGCTCAGAGATGAAGAGATGCTCTGACTTTGCCTCTTTTTCTTTTTTCAGCCCCATCACTGTCTTCCTCAGTCTCTTTCTTCTGGTCTTCACCTGTGTAACGCTCTTATTTTCTCTTCCTGTCTCTCCCTCTCTCCATCTCGATGTCTCAGTCTCTCTTTTCTGTGTGGGTCTCCACTCAGTTTTTCTCCTTTGCCTCTGACTTGCTCCCTGTCTCTTCACCTGTCTTTCAGATTCTTTCTCTTGTTGTCTCTTTGTCTCTCTCTTTCTGTCTCTCTCTGAATCTGTCTCTTTGTCTGCCAGTTCATCCCTCCCTCCCCCTTGTCTCTCTCTGTCTCGTCTCTCTCTCTGACTCTCTTGGTCCCTTCTCTGCATCTACAGTCCCCCTTTGCCTGTGGGCTGAAGGATCAGGGCCACATGAGGCCACAGCCCCAAACTGCAGATTCCTGGGAGGTGGGCCAGCAGGGACTGGGGCATGGAGTGGGGTGAAAACAGTGTCAGGGACACCCCCTTCCCATCCTTTCCTCTTCACCCCCCACCCACCCCATGTTGTGATGGGAGCTGACATGTCGTGGGTTGCAGCTGCCGCAGGGGGAATCCCAGCCGGAAGGTTTTGCCTGGAGCAGAGGCTCAGCCTCTGTGTGTGTGTGTGTGTGTGTGTGTGTGTGTGTGTGTGTGTGTGTAGGCATGTATGGGGCCTTGTGTTGTACCCATTAACGTGAGCATGAAAGTCTGCCCCCTGCTTGGGCCCTCAGCAGAGGCCAGAAGGAAACCGGGCTCAGAGAAGGACTTCCCAAGACGGAGCAGGGAGACTGCTCTTTTCTCAGCCCCTCCCACCTTCAGTACAATCCCCCCTCCCCACTGCCAAAGGTGGGGGGGGGTTGTTATCCTTAACATTTATTGAATATGTACTGTGTGCCTGGCCCTATGCTCTGTGACCCCTATGAATGAGCTCACTGAACTCTTGCAACAACCCATTGACGATAGTACAATTATCAGACCACTTTACAAATCAGGAAATTATGGCCTAGCTCGGGAAAATCATTGGTTTGGGGTCACAGAGTTAGCAAGTTGGGGGACCCAGGACTTGAACCTGAGTCTATTTGATTTCAAAGCCCTTGCTCTTAATAATAGTGAACATTTCTATGCATGGCACCTACTGGACACTTGATGATGATGATAATAATAGTTATACACTAACATGTATTGAACACGTTTTATGTGCCAGGCACTGTTCTGAGTATACTTTGCTCATTAATCCAGTTCATCCTCACAGAGGTAAGGCCTGTTTTTGTCTCCATTTTACAGATGAAGAAACCGAGATTCAGAGAGGTTCAGACACTTGCCCGAGATCACACAGCTAGTAAGTGTCAGAGTTGGGATTTGAACCCAGGGAGTATGGCTTTGAAATCCATGACTTTAAACCCTAGTCAGCAGTGATCTTTCAAAATATTTTGTGGGTACTAGAAGGCACAGGCCAGGCCAGATGTCATCCCTCTGGTTGAGAGGTCATGAGAGGTCTGGGAGCTCCTGGAAGAGGGGCAGAGGTGGGGGTTAGACACTCAGAGGTGGGGCAGTGGTAATTTACCAAGCAGCATGGAAGTGATGTGATCTGTTCACAAGTGCATGCCAGCTGATGGTCAGTTCTGTCACCGTCCTACAGGACCCAGTTGTCAGGAAGGGATGGATGTGGGGCAGACTGCGAGCGGGACATCCCAGGGTGGCCAGGCAGGTGGTCAAGCCCTATGCCTGGCTGACCCTTCTCCTTCCTTGCAGATCTCACCTCCCGCTCCTCCTGCCTCCCCCCTGCACCATGGCTCCGGGCCCCTTCTCCTCAGCGCTCCTCTCGCTGCCGCCTACTGCCCTGCCCTTTCTGCTGCTTCTCTGGGCAGGGGCATCACGGGGCCAGCCCTGCCCTGGCCGCTGCATCTGCCAGAACGTGGCGCCCACGCTGACCATGCTGTGCGCCAAGACCGGCTTGCTCTTCGTGCCGCCGGCCATCGACCGGCGCGTGGTGGAGCTGCGGCTCACCGACAACTTTATCGCAGCCATCCGCCGCCGAGACTTCGCCAACATGAGCAGCCTGGTACACCTCACCCTCTCGCGGAACACCATTGGCCAGGTGGCGGCCGGCGCCTTTGCGGACCTGCGCGCCCTCCGCGCCCTGCACCTCGACAGCAACCGGCTGGCAGAGGTCCGAGGCGACCAGCTCCGGGGTTTGGGCAACCTCCGCCACCTGATCCTGGGCAACAACCAGATCCGCCGGGTGGAGTCGGCCGCTTTCGACGCCTTCCTGTCCACCGTGGAGGACCTGGATCTGTCCTACAACAACCTGGAGGCCCTGCCCTGGGAGGCCGTGGGCCAGATGGTGAACCTGAACACCCTCACGCTGGACCACAACCTCATCGACCACATCGCCGAAGGGACCTTTGTGCAGCTTCACAAACTGGTTCGCCTGGACATGACCTCCAACCGCCTGCATAAACTGCCCCCTGATGGGCTCTTCCTGCGGTCCCAAGGTCCAGGACCCAAGCCGCCCACGCCGCTCACGGTCAGCTTCGGCGGCAACCCCCTGCACTGCAACTGTGAGCTGCTGTGGCTGCGGCGGCTGACCAGGGAGGACGACCTGGAGACGTGTGCCACGCCGGAGCACCTCACCGACCGCTACTTCTGGTCCATCCCCGAGGAGGAGTTTCTGTGTGAGCCTCCGCTGATCACGCGGCAGGCGGGCGGCCGGGCCCTGGTGGTGGAGGGCCAGGCGGTCAGCCTGCGGTGCCGCGCCGTGGGGGACCCTGAGCCTGTGGTGCACTGGGTGGCACCCGACGGGCGCCTGCTGGGGAACTCGAGCCGGACCCGGGTCCGGGGGGATGGGACCCTGGATGTGACCATCACCACCTTGAGGGACAGCGGCACGTTCACTTGCATCGCCTCCAACGCCGCCGGGGAAGCCACCGCACCTGTGGAGGTGTGCGTCGTGCCTCTGCCTCTGATGGCACCCCCGCCTGCTGCCCCGCCACCTCTCACGGAGCCTGGCTCCTCGGACATCGCCACGCCTGGCCGACCTGGAGCCAATGAGTCGGCGGCTGAGCGCCGGCTCGTGGCGGCTGAGCTCACCTCCAACTCTGTGCTCATCCGCTGGCCGGCCCAGAGGCCCGTGCCTGGCATCCGCATGTACCAGGTGCAGTACAACAGCTCCGCAGACGACTCCCTTGTCTACAGGTGGGTGTTAGAGTCCCCGGACCTCCTCCTGCCTCAGGGGCCCTCCCTCCGCCTCCCTCGGCCTTCTTGCTCAGCTGGGGTTCTAGAGGGGCTTGTAGAGTGGTCTGTGGCTCCCATTTGCCCTGTTTCCTTCTCTTTCTGTTTCTTATCTTTGTTTTTCACACATCTTGCAAATCCTCCTGGAGTACCCACATGAGCCATTTATCACCATGAATGCACCCAGCATGGTCCCTGCTCTCATGGGGCCCAGGGTCTACATCACTGCCCACCAAAGATATCTGATCATCTACCTTGTCAGTTAGACATTCTTAGAGCAGGAAATATACTCACATATATATAGTTACAGTTGCATTTATATTTAGAAATCACATACAAGGCTACTGTAGCAACACATTGGGTACAATATAGAAACAGAAAAGTGTGAGAAAAGGATGTAAGTTGTTTCCACCATCCATTGGGTTAGAAGCCATTGTCCTGGCATGGACAGATCCCTATGGTGTAGACTGATGTTCCCCCCCATCATCTCTGATTTTCTCTTGCTCTCATTTCTGTCTGTGTCTCTGTACCTTCTCTCCTTCCTGTTCTCATGAGGAACTAAGCCCCTGCTATGTGCCAGACCCTCAGCTGGGCGGGAGAGACACAAGGAGACCAAAAGACCAAGCCCTGCCCTAGGGAGCTCACAGCCCAGAGGAAGGAGGCAGAGAGTATATGATGAATTTCAGTCTTGGCTTTGCCTTGTCTCTCCATCTCGGTAGCGTGGCTCACAGCAATTGACCTGGCATACAGCAGGTGTTTGCTCAGTGGTTGTGGGCTCTGTGCATGTCTCTGCTTTGTCCTGGCTCTGCCTCCCTTAGGCACATTGCAGAGTGCTTGCTGAATGTTTAATCCTTTGTATGACATACCTTGGGTGCTCCAGAGTGGGTGGAGCCATTTCCCCACCTGTGGGCAGCTCCTGATCTTGTGGGTGCTTAGACCCACACCAAGAAGCCTGCCTCTTGGCTTCCATCTTCACCTCACCCAGTTCTCTTGGCCATGGTCCTGGCACACAGTAGGTGCTTTCCCATCATTGGTTGAATGAGGTGATGCCTTCCTTTTCTCTTGTCTCTGTCATGCTTATTTTCTTCTCGTTTTGAATTTGGTCACCAAACACTGAATAAATGCCTACTTTGTGCCAGTTTCATGCTGGGCCCTGGGCCTACTGAGATGGATAAGACACTGGCCCAGTCTTAAAAACATTAGGGCAAACAAATGGACAAAACAAAAACTTTTATAAGGTACTACCAAAGGGTACTACTCCATTTGACCTTCCCAACTTCACTGTGAGGCAGCTATGATCCCCCCTCCCATTTTATAGACAAGGAAACTGAGGCTTAGTGGGAGAAGTCACTTGTTCAAGGTCACACAGAAAGAGACAGAACCAAGATTCCAGCTCTTACCCTTCTAACTCCCAATTCTGCCCTTTTTACATTGAAGACTTGTTTATCAGGCGACTACTGTTTGCTAGGCTGGGATTAGGGGAGAGGGATAATAGATTTGTGTAAACAGCTCCTGGTTTCTGTGATTCTCCACCTCTTTCTCTTTTTCCTTCTCTCTCTAACCCGTGGTCACTACATGGCGGGGTAGAGGGAGGTTCATGAGCCCCCAGACCCAGCATTTATGCAGATGTTGATGGCCCTCTGTCTCCAACTGGGCAACAGACCCTAGGACTCTTCCCTTCCCCTCAGGGCTACACAGTCCCAGTCCTCTGTCCCTCGTTGCACGCCTGTGCTACAGCACTGTAGGGGTTAACTCCCTCACTGCTGCCATGGGAGGAGGTGACAACCAACCAGAAGCCTGCTCTGCGGCTTGCTTGGGCCTTAGAGCCAATTAGAGACTCACAGGCTCAAGCTTTCTTAAGGAGCCAGCTTCTGTCCTTGAAAAGGGGGGAATCCCTAGCAACTGGTTATTTTAGGGGAAGGAGCAAAAGGAGCCCAAGACTCTTTGAGAGGGAAGACGAGAGGAAGAGGAAGACTTAGAGCTAGGGGCCCAAGGTTGGATGGAGTTGGTGGGGGGGCAGTGGTCTGGGAAATGGCTGGCAGCGGGAGAGTTGGAGAGGTGGTGGGCCCCTGATGTGTAGTCTTTTGGGGGGAGGATGGCTGTTGGTGATGGCGGAGACTTCTGGAGGTGGAGGAACTGAGGTGGGTTCAGGACCAGAAGGTGGTGTGGCTGGAGGAAAGGTGATGCTTCTGAGAGGTAAGAGGCCTGAGGAGGTGGGGGCATGGCCTTTAGAGGAGGTGGTGCTCCTGCAGTATTGTCCCCACGCAGATGAAGAGGCGGTTCATGTCTCTGATGACCTGCTAAGAGCTTTTGTGGGAGAGGAGAGCCTGTGAGATTGAGTGCATGCAAATCTGTGTGGGTGTGGCAGTCCCAGCTTAGCCAACATCGAACATGGAAGGGATGTGCCCAACAGGAGAGGGGCAAGGCCCAGGGGGAATGGTTCTTATAGACGGGGAGGAAAGCAACTGGTAGGAGCGTGTGAGCCACAGCAAAGCCAGCATCAGGTGGGATGCCAGCTGCTAATGAAATTATTAAGTGCCGGTCTTTGTGGATGTTAACTCATCGTACTTCACACAATTTCTATGGGGTAGGAATCCTTAATAACCTCAGGGGGGGAAATGAGACAGAGAGAGGTTAAGAAACTTGCCTGAGGTTACAGAGCTAGCAAGCAGCAGAAAAGAAACTCAAACTCTGGCATCATGGCTCTCAGACTTGGTCAGCTAAATCACTTCTCTACACTGCCACTTGTTTGAGGGCAGGGGTCCATGGCAAGAAAGGGGCATGCTTTCTTGGCTACATTTGCCCCAATTATGGATGAAACTTACCTGGGGGCATGGTATAGTGACTTCAGGTAGTATAGGGCAGGGTGTGCACATATCTGGGTACAGTGCATGACATGCAAAGAGTGGACATGGTCCTAGGCCCAGTAGGGGAACCATCTCCCCTGGGCCATTGTGGTTTGGAAGGCACTTGTCAATCAGAAGGGAAGTGGCCTTTAGCCCTGGCTCCTTGGTGGGCAGGAATATGTAGTGGAGGGGCTTGGAAATTGTCTGATAAGATAGATGCTTCTAGGAGAGGTGTCTGTATACCCAAGGTATATGGGTATGCCGATGAGGGGGAGTGGTCTGTATCACGGTTTTCTTGAAGGGGCAGGAACATGCAGAAGAGAGGAACTAGAAGAGCATCCATTGTCCCAGTAGGAGTAAGACTGGGAGTATGAGGTAACCTGCTAGTCCACCCCAGTGAGAGTGAGGCTTGAAGGTAAGGGGGCATGGCCTGTAGCATCCATCCCCTTAAAGGGTGGGAATATGTAGATAAGAGTGCTTGAATGGCACTTGTCCCAGTAGGAATGAGCCATTGCTAGGGAGCAAGCCCCTTGAGAGCAGGGCATAAAAGCTGTAGCATTCCTTCCTGGCAGGGGCCAGGATATATAGATGAGGGGAGACACGGGTGAGGAGTGGGTCTGACGGTGGGGCCTGCAGATGAGGGGCGTGGCCTATACCAAAGGTCCTGAGAGGGTGGGAATTTGGTGCTTGAGTGGCTGCTGTTGTCCCAGTAGGGGCGAGACACTGGTAGGGAGGCATGGATAGGTCCCCACGGGTGGTGGGGACATGCAAGTGAAGCAGCCTGGTTCAGAGTGGAGCTAACCCGGCGCTGATCCCGCCCCCTCCTGCAGGATGATCCCATCCACCAGCCAGACCTTCCTGGTGAATGATCTGGCAGCGGGCCGCGCCTACGACCTGTGCGTGCTGGCCGTCTACGACGATGGGGCCACGGCGCTGCCGGCCACCCGAGTGGTGGGCTGCGTGCAGTTTACTACCGCTGGGGATCCGGCACCCTGCCGCCCGCTGAGGGCCCATTTCTTGGGCGGCACCATGATCATCGCCATCGGGGGTGTCATTGTCGCCTCCGTGCTCGTTTTCATCGTTCTGCTCATGATCCGCTACAAGGTCTACGGCGATGGGGATGGCCGCCGAGTCAAGGGCACCTCCAGGTCGCCTCCGCGGGTCAGCCACGTGTGCTCGCAGACCAACGGCGCAGGTGCAACGCAGGCCCCGCCCCCGCCGGCGCCCGACCACTACGAGGCGCTGCGCGAGGTGGCGGTTCCGGCGGCGGCGGCGGCGGCGGCGGCGGCGGCCGTCGAGGTGAAGGCCGCGGCGGCCGACCTGACTTCCGCGGAAACGGAGGCGGTCCTTGGACGTTCCCTGGGCGGCTCGGCCACCTCGCTGTGCCTGCTGCCATCCGAGGAAACCTCCGGGGAGGAGTCCCGGGCCGCGGCGGGCCCTCGGAGGAGCCGTTCCGGAGCCCTGGGACCGCCGGCTTCACCGCCCCCCACTTTAGCTCTGGTTCCTGGGGGAGCCCCGGCCCGGCCGAGGCCTCAGCAGCGTTATTCGTTCGACGGGGACTACGGGGCGCTCTTCCAGAGCCACAGTTACCCGCGCCGCGCCCGGCGGACAAAGCGCCACCGGTCCACGCCGCACCTGGACGGGGCCGGAGGGGGCGCGGCCGGGGAGGACGGAGACCTGGGGCTGGGCTCCGCCAGGGCGCGCCTGGCCTTTACCAGCACCGAGTGGATGCTGGAAAGTACCGTGTGAGCGGCGGGCGGGCGGGCGCCGGGACGCCTGGGTGCCGCGGACAAACGCCCAGCCGCTCTGACGTTTAGGGCAGGATTCGGGGGTGAAAGCGCCGAGCCAACACGTCGTCGGATTGGAGGGGAGAAGCACCCTTCTCCCTGGAGAGGGGCGCGGGCTGCCTGGGCGGTGGCTCGAGGCCGCGCCCCCGCGCTCAGGGGGCTTTGAGGGCGGGCCGCCGGCCTCCCCTTCCCCGTGGACGCCACGCCCCCTCCTGCCCCTCCCCCCGCGCGCTCGCGGACCTCGCTGGAGCCGGTGCCTTACACAGCGAAGCGCGGGGAGGGGCAGGGCCCCCCCGACACTGCAGCACTGAGACACGAGCCCCCTCCCCCCGCCCGGGACCCGGGGCAGGGGCGAGGGGCCCATTTCACGTATCTGGCTGGACTAGATCCTATTCTGTCCCGCGGCGGCCTCCAAAGCGCCCCCCCCCCCAACCCCATTCAATTCCCTGGTCCCGTCGTCGGGTCTGGCTTGGGGTCCCCTTTTCTCTGTTCCCGTCGTTTGTCTCTGTCCCGCCCTCTGTCTTCTCTGTCTTCCGTCCTTCCCTATTCGTCTCTCTTTTCTCTGTCCCGTCGTCTGTTCTCCCGTATGGCGTCCAGCCTCCTTGTCTCACCAGATTATCTCCCCCAGTACACAATTCTCCCGGGCAGGTCCCACCGGAAGGACCAGACTCTCCCCGACTCCTTCCTCTTACTCCCAAGTGAAATCCCCACAGGAAACAAAATCCAAAACCAAATCCCCCTCGCTACCGGAGCCGGGACCCTCCGCCGCAGGAGAATTAAACTTTTTTCTGTGTCTGAGGCCGCTCTGCTGACCTCTGTGTGTGTTCGTGTGCCTTGGGGGGGGGGGGGGTGGGGGGTGGTGCGTGGCCTCGATTACAGCCCTAGGACGTTAAGTGAGACTGAAGGTAGGACTGCTGACTGCGACCAGGGAGATTTGCAGTTTCCTACCCTTTGAGAGACTTAGAGGTGGAGAATAATACTTAAAAAATAGAAACAATAGCTAAGGTTAAATGAGTGCTTACTATTGCCAAGCACTTAAATTGTTTAATCCTTACAACAACCCTAGGACATCAGTACCATGACTCCATTTTATAGATGAGAAAACAGGGGTCCAGAACTAAAGCAACTTGTTACAGGTCGCATAACCAGAAGGTAACAAACTTGGGATTTAAAACGGCAGGCAGCCTTCTGAGCCTTTAGTGCCGAGCAACTAGGGAGTGTTCATTTTCCACATAGGCATTGTGCTAAGCACACAGCTCATCTCTCTGAGGTCTGACAGCTGTTGGGGGTCGATACACTTGGCCCCATTTTACAGACAGGAATCTACACCAGGGAGAAGTGAAGTCACTTGCCCAATGCTCCCCTGGTGAAGAAATAGAGTTGGCAGTTTGACCTCAGTATCTGTTCCACTCTACTACAAAATGTAGCTTCTGATGTCTGTGTCTGGAGGCTGGGGAATGGCCTCAAGGACCTTAATTAACTGAGCCTGGGTATTGAAAGCTAGCCTGGTGGGAGAGGGGACATGGGAAAGGACTCACGGGTCATGCTGCCTGGAACCTGAGGGATCTTAGGAGGTAGAGAAGGGGTCTACTTGAGGGCACAGAGGTTGGCATGGGGTGGGGGAGGGTTTCTCAGACAAGGGTGTGGGCTGTGGCTGGGGAAGGGAAGTTTTTTGGGGGAGGGTGGATGGGTCCTGCAGTGAAAACTTTTCTGATCCTGGGGAAGAAGGAAGAAGGCTTCATGCCAACCAGGAGCCTCCTGAGGCCTGGGGAGGAGGAGAGAAAGACAGAAATAGAAACGGAGCAGGAGGGAGGGGGATGGATCTGGGCAGACGGTGGGAGGCAGCAAGGACAGAGGCACCAGAGAATCACAGGCCTGCATCACCCAGCGGCCCAGCCGCGCTTATCTGTCTCAGTCATCACGACTCCTGGGTACTGAGGGCTTCCCACACACCAGCCTTGGTGCTCACAAACCCTCCCTGAAGCATGAATAGAGCGTGCAGCTCAGCCCCTGGCACAGAGCACCAAACGGACTTACTCAGAGAGGAAGCATGATCACGTCTACACTCCAAAACAGATGTGTGCGGTGTGTGCACCCTCTTATTTATTTTAGGCTAGGTAAGTTGATTTGCTTAGAGGGAAGCACACTCCACAGAGTGTGAGCCATCTCAGAAGGTGAGAGGCCTTGTGCACCCCCTTTTCTAGACAAGGAAACAAGTTCAGACAGGTAAGCAGCTTGCCGAAGACCATGCAGTCTGCAAACGGCAGCGCCGTGATTGGAGAATTTACTGCCTTCTTATCCTGCACACCTAACCGTCTGACTGTACTGTCTCAGTTCCACCCGATAAAGCTTTACTGAGCATGTGCTATGTACCTGGCTCTGTGAAAGGGATGCCGCAGTGAACAAAACAGATGAAACAAGAGACCCCTACCCCATGGAGCTTATATTCTAGAGGCAGGAGACAGTAATCAAGCGAGTATGAGTGTCTTGTAGTGAATAAGTGTCACATGGAGAATGAAAACATTCTCATTTTGATGGGGGACTTCCCTGATGGACCAGTGGTTAAGACTTCCCCACTCCCAATGCAGGGGGCCAGGGTTCGATCCCTGGTCAAAGATATCAACCTGTAGTTTGCAGGTGCAGCAGAAAAATTAAAAAAAAACAAAACAGGGTGATGGGATGGAATGACTGAGAGGTTTATTTTATTTATTTCTTGGGGTATAGTTGCTTTAAAGTGGTGTGTTAGCCTCTGATGTACATCAAAGGGAATGAGCTATAGGTATACACACATTCCCTCACTCTTGGACCTCCCACCACCCCCTCCCACCCGTCTAGGTCACCGCAGAGCACTGAGCTGAGCTCCCTGCACTATACGGCAAGATCCCACTAGCTATCTCTTTTATACATGGCTGTGCTCATGTGTCAACCCCAGTCTCCCAATTCACCCTCCCCCCAATCAAGCCCCCGTATCCACATGTCCATTCTCTACATCTGGGTGAGAGACTTACTTTAGACTGGAAGGTCAAGGAAGGTAATATTGGAGCTGAGAAAACCGCCCCCTGTGGAAAGAGCCAGGGAAGAGCATTCCTGGCAAAGAGAATAGCATGTGCAAAGGCCCTGAGGCAGGAGTGTGCTTCGTGTGTTGGAGGCAGTGTGTCTGGATTGGAGTAAGGGGGAGAGTGAGAGGAGAGCAAGTGGGAGAGGCAAGCAGGGAGAAGCTTCTGCTGAGCTTCTTGGGCTGTGGTCAAGAGTTCAGATTTTATTCTCAGCTGTGAGTTTCAGCTGGGGCAGTGTTTGGCTTGACTTCTGTGAGGAATTCAGCTTTGACTGAAGTGTGCCTATCCTCACAGCAAAATCAGAAACTGCCACCTCAGAACTTGGCATGCGCCCTTTGACATATTTGGGGCCCACATGGTCCCTAGGTCAGCCCTTTGAATGATAGCCCCCACCTTCCTCTGTAACGTCAGGTCTTTCATTTAACAGAGAAATATTTACCAATGGCAGTGACATTCCCCCACCCCCACCCCCCTGCCCAAACTGAGAGCTTTAAACCCACGGAATAGTACATTAGGTGAGACAGAGCATGATATCATTCAAGGGGAGTGTTGGAGCATTTCCTCTGTGCCTGGCCCTGTACTGGACACTGGAGATCCAAAAGTGAGCCAGAAAGCACCAGTCCTTGCCCTCCTGAAGCTCAGACAGACAGATGGCAATAGGGCTGTGATGGGAGAAACATAAAGCCTATAGAGCACAGAAGAGTTGCCTGACCCTGCCCAGAGGTTCAGGGAAGTGTATTAGCCAGAGTCTTGGCTGCAAGTGAAAGGAAGTCAGCTTAACTTGATTAGGTGTGGAAAAGTGTGCATTTGTTGGCTCCTAGAGCTAGGAAGGAGACAATCAAGGGCAAAACTATAAGGAATTTGACCTTAGAGACTGGAATCGAGACTCAACTCCATTAGGACACTCTTTCCACTCATTTCTCTTCTCCACTTGTCTCAGCTCAGATGTGTCCCCTTCCACTGCATGTAATGGGGACAATGGCTATATATTTACAGACACAGACTCAATCCTTCTAGCACCACAGCCCAGAGGTAAAATGGCAGAATCTCCTCCAGTCCTAAATAAAAGTAAATCCCAGGGAAGGGCTCTGGTTGGTTTGACTAGGGTCACATGCCAACCCTGCACTGACTGGGCTATCCAAGGGAATGGAATGCTTTGATTGGCCAGATCACAGTCACATGTTCAGATTGTGTGGCTCTGGAAAAAGGGGAGAGTTAAAAATATTAGGTTGAATCATATGAAATTGCCAGTTCTGTAGGTTAGAAATGGCAGAATACTGGCAATTTCATCAGTTGAAATGAAATAGTCATCAGAAAAGTAGGATGGTAAAACTTGTTGGGTATATATATAAAAGCAATAGAAACCCCAGAGTACCACTCAGAATTTTTGGAGGAGGGGGTGATACTACTGAGACATAGGGAATGAATAGAAATTAGATGAAGACATAGTGGTGATGGGAGAGTAGGGGGGACATGTTCCAAGCAGACGGAACAGCTTATGCAAAGCCTGTCATGAAGGAGTTACAAGGGAAGACTTGTCCTTGTACTCTGGAGATGGAGTGCTGTGGTTGGGCAAACCTGAGTTGTGTGTCCAAACAATGAGGGAGTGAGGAAGGGGGCTCATGCCCCAAAGGAAAATTGAGAAGCTTTACCAGGAGACAGGGATTCTGGGCAGGCAAAAACAAAATATATCCAGTTCAAATTTTCTTTTTTAGGCCTTGGCATCTCCAAACAGAGGTTTGCAATCTTATTTCAATTACACTACTCATGTCTGAGCTCAGATTTGTCTTACATGATTCAAATTTTTATTATCATATAATAATTGGTCACTTTTTCTGGGTTTTGGCTGGGCATACAGAGATGGACTTTTGAAGATACATTAGGCTGCAAGAAACAAAACCTAATT